TCTCTTCCGAGTGCTTGAACCCCGACTCTGGCGGCTCCTTCGGCTGTTCTTTACCGGTGTGTGTCTTGTTTTTTTTTTTTCTGTTCGGGGTGGGGGGGGGGTTGAGTGCGGAAGCAAGTGGCGGAGTACGCGGAGTACTTAAGTGAGTAAGGATGTGGCATGTTTGTTTGTGTTCTTTCTTTCAGGGGAGTGGGCTTTCGGTCTTCAGGTGTCTCAGGGTGCAAAGGTCCTTCGGATGTCAGTTGCTTCCTCCTGTGTTGCCACGCGTCAGCAGTGGAAGGACGAGTTTTTTTTTCCGAAGTCCTTTGTTGGAGCCTTTCTCAGGTTTTCGTGCTAGGGTGTGAGGGGAGTTCATTGGGGGTGCCAGGCCCACAAGATCCCGACTGAACCCAAACATAACCCTTCAAAACCTACAGGTTGTAGGCTTCCTTATTACGATTTCCTTGTACAAGTCCTCGAGAGGTAAGGGCAGATCACCAGAGTCTTGCGGAGGAGCCCCAGGCTGAAGATACTCCCCAACCTAAGAGTTCAGAGCTATACCTCATAGGGGCCTTTAATGATTAGAATAGGGTTTGGGGCATATTATACTACAATTATACTAAGGAATCCCCAAAACCCTATTCAAATTATTAAGGCCCCTATACTACGGTTTAGGGTTTAGGCTTTAGGGCCTCTGAGGAGGTCCTTCAGTGGCATCTTTACCGTTTTTTTTCTGCACGGGGGGGATACTTTCCCAACCATCGTGGCTATGCCTACTTTCTACGATAAAGGTACTTAGGACGCTTTGGGTACCTACCTTAACCTAACCAAAGCCTGTAGGGTTTCGACAGCTTCAAGTAATTAAAGTCTCTGCTGCAGTGCCGTTTTCTGGTGGCCCAAGTTTACGCTATAGGATCCTAACCATAAAAACGGGTTATCACAAAAATGGAGCTGCAATGGAGACTATTGGTAGCCTTACACCACAACCTCCGAAATGCCTGATCCCCGAATCGCTCTACAACGACGCCTATCATCACCCTCGTAGGTCCTACAGCCTAGAATCTAGATCCGAAAGCGCTAACACCCAAACCCTGCCTAGCTCCTTGGACCCTCGAAGGCTTGGGGCCTTCGCTTATGCTACTCTTTCCCCAGCCTCGAACAGAATCGCGCAAGGCTGCTGGATGCTCCTGCCCAACATGGAGGCTGGGGCTCAGGCTTTGGGGTGGGGATGATAGGAATCTTCAGCTTAAAGCCCCGAGCCGCTTCATCACAAATTCTCCGTTGTCCAACTCCTAGTGGTCCTAGTCCCCTGTAGAGCCTTCGAGTTGCATATCCGCACATTCTGCAACGTCATGACCTCATCTCCGAGAGCCTCTTCAAACCCGTCGGATGCCGGCAAGCCTTCGAAGCGTTCTGCGCGCCTTACAAACGTCAACGCCCTGAAGCCCGAGATGGACATCTGGGATCGCGTCTCGTAATCGCCCCGAGCTGACATGATGCTCTGCAGATATGTAATTTGTCCCACTGCCAAACAACCTAAACCCTATACCCTGACTCAACCATAGACTCTAAAAGGCCTGAACTCTGGACTTAGGTTTAAGTTCTACACCTTTACCCACAAGCCCTCAAGCCCTCTCTGTCTCTCCATCTCTCTGTGTATGTCCGTCTGTCCGTCCGTCCGTCCGTCCGTCCGTCCGTCCGTCTGTCTGTCTGTCTGTCTGTCTGTAGGTAAGTAGATAGGTAGATAGGTAGGTAGGTAAGTAGCTAGGTAGGTAGGTAGGTAGGTAGGTAGGTAGGTAGGTAGGTAGGAAGGAAGGTAGGTAGGTAGGTAGGTAGGAAGGGAGGTAGGTAGGTAGGTAGGCAGGCAGGCAGGCAGGCAGGCAGGCAGGTAGGTAGGTAGGTACCATTTTACACAGGTGCATACATACATACATACATACATACATACATACATACATACATACATACATACATATGTACGTACATACATATATATATATATATATATGTTCTGACCTCTGGCTATACATATATATATATATACATATATACACTTGTTTATGTATTATAGCGACCTTTGGGTTGTCATTTTAGGGGGGATCTTAAGCGAAGGATCCATGTACCTGCAGCTAAACCTTTAGGTGCAGCCGGAATCCTGGGACAGGGGGTTCCCTGGCTGGAACCGTCTAAGGCGTGTATTTCGGAGTTAAGGTTTTGAGTTTTTGGTGTGAGGTTTGTGATGTAGGTTTAGGGCTTTTTGGATCCCCACTCTAAGGAACCCCAGAAGACAGACCTCTAATCTTGCGCACTGAGACTCTCGAGCAAGCCTAAACCGGAAACCAAAAACCCTAACCCGAAACCCTAAACCCTGAACCGAAACCCCCTAAACCCCCTTAAATGCCAGCGCTAAACTGAAGAAACGACGCCCAGGCGCCTAGAGCTGAAGTCGAAGTTGCAGAATGTGATCTTGCCGGCTCAGCGAGCAGGTTTGCGTCTTGCCTGCTTTCTGATGTCAACATGAAGCATACCGCATATAGATTTTACCATAGATCACTGTCACACATGATCTGTCATATTTGACATAGAGGGTTTCGCTTTTTTGGGCTTTTAGGGCACTAGAGAGCTTCCCCAACTGACAGAGTAGTCATTCCGGTGGTGGGGATCGCTAAAAGCAACATTTTCAGCGCAGCCTTCACATGACTGTTATGGGTTTGGGGCGGCGAGCTTTGGTTCCAGGGTTTAGGGTTTAGGGTTTAGGGCTTAGGGTGTAGGCTTTAGGGTTTCAGGTTTCAGGGTTGCCCTTAAATTGTAGTTAGTTTTTTGGGGTTGCTCTGATAGGATCCTTACTATGAAATGGGTTAAGCCAAATGAAAGGAACTACAAGCGAGAGTATATAGGTAAGTTTTTCTTTTTAAATCTGGGGTTTCAAAGAGTACAGTCGAGCATCGAAGGAAGTGCTGGGCTCCGAGGTTTGCATGTGGTATCTTGAAGCTTTTCAATTGCAACCCAATCGATGGCCCCAGGTTTAGCCCTGACGCAGGCTATCTGCGGGACATCCCAGTTCAACTAAATGGCTCCCCTAAACCTTAAACCCTAAACCCTATCGTAGATCAACAAAAAACCCTAAACCCTAAACCCCTAAACCCTAAACCCTAAATCCCTAAACCCCTAAACCCCTAAACCCCTAAACCCCTAAACCCTAAACCGGCTCTACGAGCATGTAGCTCCCGGTCTGCTAAGATGTGTACTGGGTTGCACAGATACGGTTTAGGGTTGAGGGTTGAGGGTTGAGGGGTTTAGTAATTTAGGGTTTAGGGTTTAGGGTTTAGGGGTTTAGAGTTCAGGAATTAGGGTTTAGGGTTTAGGGTTTAGGGGTTTTAGGGGTTTAGGGTTTAGGGTTTGGGGCACGCTACCCCCGAAAACCCTCAGCCGCGGAAAACAAGTCACCGCCCAAAGATGGCTCCAACATAACACCAATCTGCAAAGTAATGACAACGATGTCGTTCATAGCAATACTGACAGTAATAGTAAGAGTGACAGCAATAGTAATAAGATTCATGATAGTAGTAATAAGAATAATATGATCGTTAAAGTTAGATAACAATACGAGTAATAATCATAATGATCATTCCAATCATGATAGTCAAATCAACCTGCACGGCTGCCCTAAACCCTAAACCCTAAACCCTAAACCGACCCTCAAGGAACGTGCGAGTGGCGGTGGTGGTCGATCCTGCTGCCGCCCCTGTTTCTTTGTTATAGTTGGGTAACATTTTAAAGGGTTTAGGGTTTAGGGTTTAGGGTTTAGGCTACTTAAACCCAATAAGGAATATATATTAAAATTTTTAATACTACCCCAACCATGAACAAGGTTTATGTGCACACTGCCCGCGGCCCTGGCACCCGCTTGGCAAAGGACGGAAGGGCGGTGTTGTTGAGGGCTTCGTACGGCAAGCTTATTCATGAAACCTGAAGTTGCTCTGCTATTCTTTCAATATACCGGAGCTTCCTGCGACCCTAAACCCTAAACCCTAAACCCTAAACCGAGACTGCTTGGACCCCCTGCTGATTTGTGGCTTGGAGATCGTACGCCGTTCGAAGCTTGGAGGCCCGAAGACCTGAGAACCCGTCCTTACGTCTTGCCCGAGTCCCTGCGCTCAAACCTGTCAGCGCTTAGGGTTTAGGGTTTAGGGTTTGGGTTTAGGTTTAGGGTTTAGGGTTTAGGGTCTAGGGTCAGGGAAGCTCCTAATGCCCAGAGGCTCCATATATAATACCATTATGGACTTCGGTCCCTAAAACCTGAATAAGGATGGTCTTTTGGGACTTAATTCAAAATTCCATAATGGTACTATATGTGGAGCCTCTGGGATGTGAATCTAGATTAAGTCTGAAATGTCTTCCTGCAAGGACGTGACCATGATCGACGGACCCTACGGCATCTTTGCTGCAGAATCCGAAGAGTCTACATTCCTTTCCTCAGGTGACTTACTCTGTGCTGCTGCTTTAGTCTGCGAATCAGTGCAAGAGATCTCTACACCCCTATATCCTAAACCCTTTAAGCCCAACAGTAGGATCCCTGCTGCGGTCGGGCTCGCAGTTTCTCATCCAAAAGGAAGGATAAGCAAACCGAGTATTCCAAGTGTTCGAGTGTCACAACAACGAACGAGCTCTCCTGAAATCCTCATGCTGCTCTTGAAATCCTCATGCTGCTGAGTAACCAATCCTGCCCTTACGCCCTAAGCCCTAAACCCTAAACCCTAAACTTGGAAGGTTTGCTCCTAAGGGAGAAAGGTAGATGTTGGGTTGAATAAAAGGTAAAATAAAGGTACAATAAAGCTGCTTGAAAGCTAAGTCAGTCAGATCGTCGAAAGGCGATATAAAGGTAAAACAAAGCTGCCAGAAAGCTGCTCTTTCGAACACTGTGTGGCATGGAATCAGAAGCTGCCCCTTGTGATCAGAAGCTGTTGTGCATCAAGACTCTGTTGGAAAGCAGCAGAGTTGTTTGGCTTGGCCAGCCAGCAATGGCATGGGATTCACTTGTGGCTGAATGCTTGGCGTCCGCCCAGGAGCCATGTGAGCAGGTGGAAGATGCTGAGGTCTACCGGCCTGAATCTGACCAAGGTGATTCTGCGGATGAGAGCTCAGCAGGTACATCGTCCTCGCAGGACGGGCCAGAGGCATGGTGGGTGACTTTGCTGGAGAAGCACACAAAGGAGTATCACTACCCAAGCCCCAGATCCTCGTCTCTGACCTTGGTGTCTGGATGCAGTGGCATGCTGGCAGAAGCTTTTGCATTGCAGGACCTTTCACAGATTTTGCAGATCTCACACATGCAAGAGGTATGTGCAGATATCTCATGTGGGGCTGCCTGCAGGAGCTTGGCTTCAGTGTCGAAGTCGTGTCTGTTTCAGAGAAACAAGAGAGATGCTTGGACATCATCCGTGCAAACTTTTGCGTGCGGCACACATTCAAAGATATGTTGGAGCAGTGTGCGCTGAAACCGGCCGACAGCCAGCATAGCAATGGTTCTGACCATGACCATGCTGAAGGTGCCCGTGTAGCCGTGTGTGGAACGGTGTGTGCTCCTTACTCCGTCCAGCGGGTGAAGCGCTTTTCGGGTGGTTCAGTCAAGAGCCACCTTGCGCATGCTTTGACTGCAGAGGGTCTTGTGGAATGGTTGGGACGGGTATCGCCTGAAGCCGGTGTGTGTGAGAATGTCATGGGTTGGGACATGCCACTGGATGTGTCTACTTCAGAGACACCATTGGGGCTGTCCCCGGACACTGTGTAGAAAACTTTGGTTTCCGTTGCAGTCACTTGCTAGTCACCTAGTCACCTAGACC